TTGCCAAATATCTGTTTCTCTGATCAGGGGTAAAAAACAAACAAACAAACAAACAAACAAACAAAAACAAATGGAATTTGGGTTCCCTAGATGGGGGTTTTATGATGAGAGCATTTAATGGTGTTTGGGGTACCGTATTCCCGAGCATATAGCTTGCCTTCTCACCAGACCATCAAATGCCCTTCACTAGGCATTGCAGACTGACCTTTGTGTTTCTGTCTTAGGAGCAGGCTTCTGGCAGTGATACCTGGCATTGCAAAATCCATCACTGAGCCTTTGTTTAATGCCAGAGATCTCAAATGCTTTCCGATTCTGGAGAAGTGCCAAGCTGCACTTTCAGATTAGGAGGCCATGGAAGGACTCCCATATCTATAAGCCTAATATAGGCTGTCATTTCAAATGAATGAATCGTTTATACTGTTGGAAGGAGTCCAGATATGTTTGGGGTTCCTTTTTTAGCCTATATAGTTCTGAGCTACCTGACTTTTATAATAATAGTCTAATAACCATATTGTCATCTGTGCTACTTGGAGGTGAACCTCTAAGAAATTCAGCCTGTTCCTTTTGCTGACCTCTGGGGTGATAGTTGCAGGCTGGTTTACTTGTAGCAGTTTCTCATTTGTTTTTTGTGTCAAACTTTAGTGGGAGATGTGAGGTTTTGTGCACCATTTAGAATGGTAATCAGTTTAAATGCTTTAAAGCGTTATGGAGTGCATGACTGAGAATGTGGGGGATAAGCCCATGGTGGTGTGCTTAGATTTCTCAAGTCCCACTTAAAACATAAATGTGAAGATTTTCACTCCGAGGTACAAGAGCATCCCAAACTGTGGACAGACATAAAAAGTCCACGATGCTCTCTGCTCTGCCTCTTCCTGTGACGACAGTCTGTTGTGAGGCTACGAGAGTAGGTGTGCACAGAGGATGAGCCCAGAACGAGATCTTTTAAGAGGTTTGGGCTTCTGAGCCTGCACCTCTGGTTGTGGAGCCAGCCCCCAGTCCTCCCAGGTGGCGTCAAGAACTCCCTGCGGCTCCCAGCCAGACCTGTGAGTGTGTTTGCACAGACCTGGTCCTGGTGATACAAAGGGCGCACAGTGCCAGCCATAACACTGAGTAATGCTGGGAGGTGCCTTTTAGAACAAACAATGTGGGTGAGCTTCGCAGAGAGGGAATACCTCTGGCTTGACATTTAAATTACTGAATTATTTAAATGAATGTCAATTAGGTGGAGTAGACTTGCTGCCTTCTGCCAGGGCACTTCCTAGTTGTTTGCAGAGGCAAGTGCAAAGGGCTTCGTATCAGATACGGCGTTTCCTGTCTGTACTGTTGGAAATCAGTCACGGAAGGTGATTATCCATTCCTTGGTGTGCCTCGATGTGTACTACATGTATGTCACTGTTAGAGAAATCCGAGGTCCACAGACACTTACCCGTGGCCCTAAAAGGGATTTTGTAATAGTTCTGTCACCCTGCGTGCCCCCTACCCCCAACCCACCCCAATTAAAAAATCACAGGCCCACACATGTTATGGTTATTCCTAAAATTGGACAAGACTGAAACAGTGAGACATGGGCATTCTGGGGCCTGTTCTGTTCCTTAGAATTGTGGATGTTGAGATATGAAAATGCTGCTGTCTTGCTTTTAACCTTCTTTGTTGAATTAGTAATCCTAGCTCAGAAATCTCTTTGGCATGTCTTCGACTAATCCACTCTGTCAGATGAAACTGGCAAAGTGGCATTTAACTAATGTGTGTGTGCATGCAGGCATGTGTGTGGTATATGTGGTCATTCTTCTATTCTTATGAATTTAGGGTCTGCGTTTATATCTGGCAGTATATAAAAAATAGATTCATAATGGGGTCTTCTAAGTAGTTATACGGAAATACCCAACTTAAGAAGATTAAATGTTGGTGAGAAGCAAAATTGGACGTGAATCTGGTAAAGCTTGTGTACTTTCCCATTAGCTAACAGCTGGACTGAGCTCATGGTTCCTCATATCAGAGATTAAATTAATTATCACATAGCACTGACAACCGTCCTTCTTCCCCTTTTTTCTTTTTCTGGACTGTGGAGGTGAGGATATGAAAACTCTAGTTTTTGACACCTTAAAAAGAATTACCTGTTTAAAGGTAGTCAGCCCTCGGCCATCTGCATACATACAACTAGTAGAGGGATGTAAAGATTCAAGGAGAGTGTTTACTAAATAATTGAATCCCTTTGACTCCGTTTGTGACCCCCACAGGATAAGGTCTGATTACAGTTTATAACCTGTCATGCCTCATAGTTGGGTATAGTGAATTGACCTTTACTGAAGTTGGTATTTACTCAGGGCTGCTCAATTCTGGCAAAATTCTGTAGGTTACATTCCAAACATCTGTCAGGCCATCCCCACATCCTGTCAAAAGCTAGAGACCTTGGAAGGGGGGGGGTCCACATCTTAATGTCTGTGAGCTAGAGTTCAGTTTCAGCTCTAATTTTATTATCTATCTATCTATCTATCTATCTATCTATTTTTAAGTAGGCTCCACACCCAACTTGGGGCTTGAACTCTTGACCCTGAGATCGAGAGTCATATGCTCCACCGACGGACCCAGCCAGGCACCCCAGGGCTCTAATTTTAAGAGCAGAGCTCACTCTGAGAGCACATTAAAGAAATCGTTGTTGTTATTTTATTTTTTTTTTTAATTTGACCTTTTTTATTAGAACCACAAGATGTCGTTAATTCTTCTTACCAGGACTGTCCGTTTCCATAGGATCAGTGAGTGAGGCCTCTGTTGCCTACGGTTACTCGTTTCTGGGTGTTCCTACTGCACCATTGGCACCGTCAGTTGAGGGGCGCATACTCCTCAGTCCATTATCAATCCCTGAACAGCTACTCTCTTAACGTTATTTTCATTTACCCTTTCATCCTCACACGAATCCTTCAGCCCCAACCCAGTGTCAGTAGACACAACCTCTCTAAGGATGTATATCCTGGGATATCTTTGACCTTTGAAAATATTTAGGATTTTAAAATACATGTTTGTGTTTCAGATTTTCATACATTGTGTTATGGCACAGTTTTCAAACATAGTATTTTAAATTCCCTGCTGTAGATCACAAACAAATCAACATAATACCGTTAACCACCCCTCCCCTTATCCTGCTCATCCGTTTCCCTCCAAAGAATCATCACCTGTTGGGCAGCATAGTTGGCAATGCTCAGCCCAGCTTTGTGCCATTCAAGAGTGGCAAGCATGTCTAGACTCCCTGGAAATATTATCTTTCAACTCACTTTTGGCAAGTGTAAACTTTTGCTGGGTTATGTCAACAGATATATATGTTTCTCATCCTCATAGAAATAGATTGGTGCTGGAATTTCTCTAGGCAGGGAAAATAAAGACTATCTTTTGGCTCATTAAAATTTTTGCTCATTAAAAATGTCTGAGGCTCTTGATTCTCGGGGGTGAGACTGGTGACATACATACACTGTCAGCGGCTATTTTGGATCTCCTGCTTTCAGGCATGTCTTTGCTCTTGGATGAGCCCCTTGTGGTTTTCAAAAGAACTAGCAAGTCAATTATAAATAGAAGGCTTGTGTCTGTGTGTCTGCATGCACTTACTCTGTGGGATGAGGCACCCACATTACAGTGGGTAGTGAACTATTTTTCACTTCTTTGAAGAGGGAAGAAGAAAGATTAAGAACACTTTTCTCTTTTTGAGATAACCCACGTCTCTACAAACACCCACACAAATCTGTGTAAATGAACTTGACATTTCAAAGACCTTACCTTAAGGTCTCCTCTTGAAAGCGCAGCTACCCGACCTGTTATTTTAAGAAAGAAGTAGTTATCTCACAGACCTGCTACAGAGGGTTCAAGAATCAGAAGGCAGTCACTCTGTGCCATAGACCTTTGGAGGGAGCTCTGAAAGCTGAATTTCTTTATAGGAAAACTGCTTTGGAACCTCTAGGACTTGGCTGTTTACATTCTTTCTTCACTTTTCTTCCCTCCTAGTGCAAACTGTTGGGACCAGCAAGTCTGAACTAATCATTCTCACAAGGGAGGGGAAAAGAAAGAGTGATTTGAAAAATTAGGTTGCACAAATTAGATTGCAGATGTTTCCAGAAGGAGACAATTAGGAAGTCTGATTAGGTGTGCTTCACTGATGGACAAGGCACATCTTTCCATCACACCTTGGACCTAGCAGGTGTTGACTGCTCCTGTGGTCTCACCTCTTACCTTACTTTTAAAACATTGTTCTATTCCTTTTGTCTCCTTGTACCCTCATCTTCAATAATCAGTGCCATTTTTTTTTTTTTCCTGCCAGGCAAACATGTGTAAGCAGTGATGAATTTCCATTGTAATCAACATGAAAACTTCAGTGTTGTCACTATTGAAACATTAATCTAAGGCATCTAGCTGGAAATATTGGTAATAGACATTTGTAATTATAGACTGCATCCTTGTAAACTCTCGATTATACTGGGCTATTACAGATAGTGGCAGGAACACCAGCATTCCTTGTATTACTAGTTGATGGATTAGTATGGAGTTAGCAGGAACTGGCATTAACAATGGCCCTATATTTAGGAGCCTTTAAAAAAAAAAAAAACATAAAATAAAGGTGATGAGCATAATGTCCTGGAAAAACATTTTATTTTGATGTAAGAATTGGGATGTGAGAGCCCATCAGGCTGAAGAGAATGTGAAAACCACAGTGAGGGGAAGTTCATTTTCAGAAGCCTCTGGGTACATGATAACTATTCTTTGGCCTGGTATGATCTAAAAGAGCACACAGTTTGTATAAATGTGTTCCTGTACTGAGAGGCGATTATCATTTGGTAGTTGGTCAAGTGAGAAATACAAGATAACAAAATGTGGACATCATGGCCAGTGATGACACTTGGCCTGACTTGCTGTTTGGTGAATGTGTTGTAATGGTCTTGGAGAAACCATCTTATTGCCCTAATGGGGGTAAAACCCATGTAGTGATTTTTTTTTCCCTTCTTCTTGCTTCTTTGCAGATGAGAAGCCCAAGGTAAACCCCAAACTTTACATGTGTGTGTGTGAAGGCCTCTCCTGTGGGAACGAAGACCACTGTGAAGGCCAGCAGTGCTTTTCCTCACTGAGCATAAATGATGGCTTCCATGTCTACCAGAAAGGCTGTTTCCAGGTCTACGAGCAAGGGAAGATGACCTGTAAGACCCCGCCGTCACCTGGCCAAGCTGTGGAGTGTTGCCAAGGCGACTGGTGTAACAGGAACATCACGGCCCAGCTGCCCACCAAAGGTTCCCGTGGACTTTTCTATTTCTAGATCAAGGGTTTCTGTTAATGTTGTTCTGTGTGGGTTAAAGATGGAAGTAGCCACAAGCTTTTCCTCCTACTCCTTGAACTAGAGGTCATGGGTGACAAGGAGGGTAGCTATAGATGAAGAAGGGAAAGGCATGTCCTTTTGGAGTGTGAAGGGGGATAAATATCTTTGGGCAAGTGAGCAAGATGTGTCCATCTTGGGGAACAGCTTGGGTGACTAGATCTCTCTTGGTAGTCATGAGCAGGTGAAGAGCTCCAGATACCCTTTTCTGTTGAGGAGCCATGGTGTCATAATTTATGAAACAGTTTGGCTTGGTAAATAGTCATCTCTTTGTTGAGTGTGTAGGAAGTAAAATGGAACATAAGAATCCAGTGACTGAGTAGAATATGTTTCCTTCTTTTTGAGGAAAGAGACAAAGCCTCACTAACCTTTGCTCCCATATCTGATTTCCCAATGAACCATTACTGAAGCTTGAAGCTGGGTAAGATTTCACATGAACCTTGTAGTTTCTGTGGAATCTTTTTCCATGTTGTGTTCAAATGGATTCCATGTTCAGTGGAAATCAGTGTTTCTCTGAAACTGTTTCCCCATAAAATGAGCCCTACATTGCTATCAAAAACTAATGTTCCTTAGTCTTTGTAGACTCACTCTAAGACAAAGTTAATTCTCTTAATCTACAGTACATTTTTAATAGGCATAATTATTTAATTTTGCACTCACAAAAAGAAGAAACAAACCAAGAAGTGGAGTAGGAGAGGCTACTAGCAATGCCCACTGTCAGAAATGTCAGCTAACAGGGGGAGAGACCGAAAAATGAAAACAAAACAAAACAAGACAAAAAAACTGACACAAGATTATGTTGTGCAGTGTTTCAGTTACGGTGGTGACGTTAAGACATATAGAAAATGTTAATTTTGATAAGCAAATGTTAATTCTGTTAATTCATTGAATAACGAAAGAAAATTTTTAAAAGAGAGATTAAGTATTCAAATGGTTAAAACAAAAAGGGTACTTGATGGAATAAACTTTACTCTTAACCTTTGTGAGTTAAATTGTTATTAATAGAGTGGACGGACACAATCAAGTATCTGCACTCACACAAAAGTTATACCTACAATATGGAAAGTTCCTAATCAGCAGAACACTGCAAGACACTGAGTTGTAATAGAAAATTTATTTTCTTTACTTAAGGAATCTCTAATTCAATTAGGGAGGCTCAATATTTATAATTTAATGTTGTATATAATTAGTTTGACACTTTATCGTACAAGTGACATGTACCATGGAGTGTAATGTGCCAAGTTGGAAGTTAAATCTCCAAGATTTGGGAAGTTAAAAGAAATGTATAAAGGACATCAGGCTTGCACTTGGATTGTGGAAGGAGGCAGGGATGTGGAAAAGAGGCATATGTGGGGAAGAACAGGGCTCGGTGACACCATGTCATAAGGGGTCTGACATTCAGAGATAATTATTGTTTGGGGACTTTTTTAGTGTTTATTCATTTATTCAGAGAGTGAGAGAGAGAGAGAGGAAGAGAAGCAGAGAGGGAGGGAGAGAGAAGGTCCCAAGCAAGCTCTGCACTGTCAGCGTGGAGCCTGATATGGGGCTCGATCCCATAAACCGCGAGATCATGACCTGAGCCAATACCAAGAGTCGGTCACTCAATCAACTGAGCCACACAGGCACCCCTGTTTGGGGACCTCTTAATTATGGGGCTTCACTATCCAATCAAGAAATTTTTCATTTACCTCACTAGGCAAGTAGAAAGTCTTTGTGTGTATCTGCCTGAGTGGTATGTGAGTGTTGGAGTGAATGCACGGATGTTTGAATGGGTAATGTAATAATGCCAAGCTAGGGGGTGAATGAGTGATTAGGCGAGTGAGTGAATCAGTGAATGAATGTTTTGAGTGAGTGAATGAATATTGGATAAGTGAGTAAAAGAACAGATGAATGAATAGGTTCCTAGGCAGAAATCCTAGGCAGAAATCGTGATGTGAAAAGATCAATGAGAATTCTGCGGTAAACATCCAAGATACATTGAGGAGAACCACAGATTGGGTGATTTGGATTTAACTCAGATAGTGCTTTCTCATAGGAATATTACGTCATAATTTCTGTAAGGGCTGAGGATAAAGCATTTGTACAGAGATTTGTGTAGTACTCCATATTTGAAAAGTACTTTCACGTACATGCATTAATACAGTTGGTTCTCTGTGGAATCTTTTCAATCTCTGGCTCTGTCTAAATGAATAATGGTTCAAATGACTGGGCCATTGGCCAGGTGTTAGGAAGTATTTTAGTTTTCACGGTTTGTGACTTGCAAGACTATGTGGTCAGCATCAGGACCTACTTGTTAGGTGTTGGTTATGCTGAATAGTAAGTAAACACTGATCCTTACAGCCAATTGCCCTTTTCTCCCCCATCTCCAGGGAAATCCTTTCCTGGAACACAGAATTTCCACTTGGAGGTCGGCCTCATTATTCTGTCTGTAGTGTTTGCAGTATGCCTTCTAGCTTGCCTACTGGGAGTCGCTCTCCGAAAATTTAAAAGGCGCAATCAAGAACGCCTCAATCCCAGAGATGTGGAGTACGGCACCATCGAAGGGCTCATCACCACCAATGTTGGAGACAGCACTTTAGCAGTGAGTTTGTGACCCCAGGGAATCCCAAGCATAACAAAGATGGCTAAAGATGCTTTCCCATTCCCACCATGAAATGCTAACCAGTAGCTGGTGACTGGACAACGTGCACACTTACCACTGGTCACTTGTGTCCTAGGCAAGCATATGTTGGCACCTGTTTAGTCTCCCCTATAGGAGAACATTTATTTTAGGCATTTATATTAAATAAGAGGGGGGGATTTATTTTAGTAGATTCTTGGTAGTTACTTTTCTTTTGGGAGTAAGGGAAAAGGTACAGAGAATGGTTGCCTATAATTTCGGGGTGGGGGGGGGGCTTGAAGTAATTCAGTTACTCTATTTTTAGCAATAAAAGTACTTTCAAAAAAGCACCTTTGCTTAATATTAAAATCACTTTCCTTTCTAGATTATTTTAACACCCTGTAATTTAAGACTTTAAAATTTGACATCCAAAAAAGCAGCAATTAAACTTTTCATGCTCCTGTGCTGCCCCCTTGTGGAGTGTGGCCATTTGGTTAAACAGTGGTATCCAATAAAATATGTGTGCCATATATTTAATTTTAAGTTTTCTAGTGGCTGCTTAACAAAAAAAAAAAAAAAAAAA